TGGTTGGGATAGTTATTCTGATTATTCTAAGATACCATTGGAGAATAATTTTTCGATACATATACAAGAAACAAAAAAGTTAAAGACAAATTACCAAACAAGTCAAGTAATCGGGGAGCATCACGTAACAAAAAATCCTACAGGATGTCCTATAGGATTTCCTATAGAATATCCTATAGAAAATCCTATGGAGAATTCGAACATTTCCTATAGGATTTTTCGGGTGGGATTTTCTATAGGATTCCCTATAGAATTCACTATAGGGTTTTCTATAGAAAGTAACACACAAAATTGAGACTCGAAACCAATCGGTCACAAGGGTCAGGATTAGGGTCATAAATCTGATAGGAAACTCTATAGGAAATCCTATAGGAAATCCTATCAGAAAAATCCTATAGGAAATGTTCGAATTCTCCATAGGATCTCCTATAGGAAATCCTATAGGATATTTTACAGAAAATCCTATAGCATTTTTTCATACGTGCAACCTTGATTTCCAGTACTTTTTCACCTTACATAGGAGAAAAGTGCGTAGCTGATAGTGAATTTTACTCCGTTAACCCAGGAAAATTACTACATGTGAGGGTGATCTGCACCGAACCTGTCAAGGTTACCCTGTATCCTATCAAAAATTATCGCAGTGAATATGAATAATTGCTCCAATTTTTCGCATAATTTTTCTGTAACGGAGAATGATTTTTACCGAACCCGTTTGATAAAAATTCACGTCCGCCCGCCCCTATGACCTTCAGATGGGTACAGTGAGAGAAAAAATTAATTTTATCAAGAGAATTTTATTTAAACCAATTATTATTTGGTTGTCAATGTTCAAATAAACATGATTTGACAAGAATGCAAGTCCATGCATTCTTGACTTAATCTCGAATTTCCGTCAATTACGTGGTTACAAGAAATTCCGTTCTTGACGTAAGAATGAGGGCTTTGACATTAACTCCATTTTTGCTTTCGAATGGAAGCATTGTATTCGTCAAATCTGAAATTTGCATTTTTTTGTGTGACGATGATTTATTTTTCGTCTCAGGAGTTCGAATATGCTGTTTTTAGATCATGTCCGTATGTATGTATGTATATACGTGAGATTTTTTTTCAAATTTCGTTTTTGGACGATCATTCAAAAAATAATCGTTGAAATCTTTTCAATTATGGCTTCAAATATTCGTTTGGATGTTATCTCGGTCGAGTTCGAAGATAGTGGCGATCGCATCATTTGCTTTGAAATTATAGCCTTAGAAATTCTTTAATCGAGGTTTAATCATGGTTTAGTCGACATTCAGTCGGAGTGTAGCCAGCCTGTAGTCGGAGTTTAGTCAGGGTTGTCTCGGAGGATTTTCAGGGTTTAACCAAAGTTTCATCAAGGTTTCATCGAGGTTTAATCAATGTTCAGTGGAAGTTTAAACCAGTTCAATTTTAATTTAGTCGGCGCCTGTTAGATGTTCAGTCAAAAATTCAAATTCAGATCAAGCAAAAAAGTTATACTGGTCTTAAGTCCAGTTTAAGGAAAACTATTCAGGGGAAACAAAAAATTTTAATAATTTACTTACGACCGAGGAGACATCAATATTGATGTATCAGGAGCATAAGTTCTTATGATAACAAATTTTACATTAATTTTATTTTCGTGTCACGGGACCTGAAAATTAATATACACACCTCGCCATGGAAAACATATCACCCTCCCCCACGTGTTTGCCATCCTCGCCTTCTGCTCGGAAGGCAATCTTGCACGTGGGGGACGGTGTTCCAAGGGGGATCTGTTTTCCAAGGCTCGGGCATGTAAGGTACTATTTTATTCAATCGGTCTAATTTAAAATAAATGCAGTTCACTAAAAAATTTTATCTCACATTTTCTTTAAAAACAACTATTGAATTCTCCTGAGGTTAAACTTCAGGAAGGATCCCTACTGATCTGAAATTAATGACAGAAAACCGAATATGCACTTTTTGCTTTAATTCGATTAATCCATTCGGAAGCAAATCGCTAATTTTTAGCAAAAAAACTATACTTGATTTAGGCCGCTTGTTAAAATGAAGGTTCGTGACATGTGGGTTTTTCGGAATCGTGAATTGAGATTGCCAGTAAGTAACCCATGCTTGCCACAATAATGGTATTCAACAGAGTGGGAAAGGTGTAGCACCCTCTTGCATGTACCGGGGGAAATGTAGCATCGCAAAATCCTGTGGGTACCTTCTGCCCCTCCTCTATTTTTAGGAATTGATTTCAAGTACATGAATATGGCGGCAATCCTCACCCCCATGTCTATTGCTGCAAAATTGGGAAGAATCAGTATTTCAAACCAAAAAAATTGCTCTATCTCAAAATCTTCATTTGGGGATACCTTTTCATCCTTCTATTTTTTAAAATTTATTTTAAATTTCTAGATGCAAGTATATGCAATTACTAGAAAAAATGAAAAAAAAAGTTATTTTTGGCCTAAAAAATTACTGAATTACAAAAGTTCGCGTCATGGTGTAACTTTCCATTCCTCTATTTTCTGAGATTCATTAAAAATTTCCAGGTACTAGCATATGCCAACAACCCTCTTGTGCATTACGACAAATCTGAATGTAATTTTTGCGAAATTGCTCATTCTTGTCGCAAGAATCTTGCCGTTTGCGCCAATCCGTAAGCCCGTGTAGGAATCGCGCCACTCGAGCTCTGATAAGAAGCCGTATCCCAGCTAGAAATACGCCGCTCCACCCCGGCTCGGGCAACCTATACGCCTACCCGAGTGAAAATTGCTTCAGGCCCACCTGAAGCACGATCAGAACTTGATCAGGTTTTTGTAAGGTTCGACTGATCCGGTGATTCCTGATGAGAACCTGATTAAGTTTTGATCCAGCAGATCGGATCCGAAAAACTACAGGCGGGTTCAGATCAAGTTCTGATCAGGTAGACATGATCAGATGATGCCTGATGATAACCTGACTAAGTTTTGATCTAGTAGATCGGATCCGAAAAACTGCAAGAAGATTAAGATCAAGTTCTGATCAGGTAGGCACGATCTCACCCGGAGGTCGGCTGCCTGACCCCAAATTGATCAAATTCGGATTTGATGTCCTTGATCGGCATTTGAAAGCGGTCAATTGAAGAGAAAATGATCAGATTCAGATCCGCTCCACCTGACATTAATTTTAATAAGTTTTGCGGATAATTTAATTAACTATTATTATACTATTGAAATTAAGTTTTATGAAATATTATCAATAATTATTTTCAATCTTTAAAAAGGATCATTATACTATAATTAAAATAATTTGAATTAAATTAATTTAATTTAATGAATTCAATTTAATTACTCAATTTAATTAACAGCCAGCCCTTATCAAATGTAGGGAGGGATGATAATGCCGTAAATACGTATTAGAGGAGTATCAAACTTACACGCTAATTATCTTGAAAAAAAAATCACCAAATGTCTATTTATTTATTAGTGTTATTGTTATTATCATTATTATTATTCCTTAATGAAATAAATAAAAATTTAATTGAACATATTTTATCTCTGAGAATACACACGCACATCCGCGAGATCAGGAGTAATCGTAAATTCAACGAATACCCCGATACAAATCATATAGGCAATGTACAGTTTAGTCAATAGTAATAGCACGAGCGCATAGTGGTCAGGGCATAGGATTAGCAATCATAGGGTCCCCGGTTCGATCCCCAGCATCGGTAAAAAAATAATAAGCTTTTTCAGAGGTAATAGCAGTAGAGATTCATTAAGAGAAACGGCCTACGGTGAAAGAATTGAATTAGCTTTTGTTTTGGATTAATTATCATCGATAATTGTTATTGATACTGACAGACAGGTCATCCGGTTTTCATACAGTTGACTTGATCAAGTTCGGATCCATTCGTCCTGGTCAAATCCGGATTGGCCAGAGGCGTAACATGTCTAAGCAAGACCGGATCCGTCAACTTGATCAATACCTGATCAGTGGTCAGGTCTAACCTGATCCAAACTTGATCAAGACCTGACCGGAATTTCCACTCGGGTATATTTGAGCCTTGAAATGGTAGACCCTTCAGAGGCTTTACTCTCTAAATGTTTGATCCTTATGAGGTTCAACTCTTGACACGCCTGATCCTTGCTATGTTTGACCCTCAAGACATCTGACCCTTGAAGCGTCTGACGGCGTTTTCGGATTGAGATCTAGGTGATCAAATCCCAAATCCAAATCTGATCAAAGTGATTTCAAGCTACCAGATCTCAGAAACATTGGATCAGTTGTTCACCAGGTTTTGATCAGGTTCGACCTGATCAGTCGAACTGACTACAGACGGATCCATTTCTAATCCAACTTCAAGTAGTCTGAGCAAAAAGGTTTTAAGGAGGGTCTCAGGTGACATTGTAAGTTTTCGATTAATGAAAATAAGTATCGAGCGACTTTTGATATATCACGGGGTACCTAAAAAACTAAGAAAAATTTCGTACTCAACCCATTTTCCCCGTATGTTCACCGAAAACGTTTTTTTTCCTGTTTTTGGCTTTGAAATGCTCCTCGCACCACAATTTTCATCCGATTCAAACTTTTCTTTCAAAATGTTCATTATATTCCAAAGAAAAAACTACATATTTTTTCGATCAACTCAATTAGATCATAGATATTTTTTTTCGTGGCGTATAAGAATAATTTTTAAAAGGTCTATAAGAGGTGTTTTTAGAAGAAAAATTATACATATACACCTTTGAAGTTGACAAAACCCTTAAGCTGACGTCACCGAAAAAATTCAATTTTTGAATGATCTCATTGAGATAATTGAAAAAAATACTTATTTTTATTTTATGGAAATTGTTTTGAAACAGAAAAAGTTGAAATCGGATAAAAATTGTGGTGCGAGTTTCAAAGTCAAAAACAGAATAAACGACGTTTTAGCCTGGCGTACAACTCGTTTACTAAAGTTCTGAAACAAAATACATAGAGTGCAAGTTCAGATTGTTTCAGAATTTTAGTAAATGATTGTACGGGGTAAAATGGGTTAGTTATGAAATGTTTCTTAGTTTTTTAGGGACTCCATGATATAGTATAAAAAGTGGCTCGATGGTGATTTTCATCAACCGAAGACTTTCAAACTTCACCAGGGCCCTCCCTGAAATAAATGAAAATTAAAATATACATATTAATACTTTTGTTTTGCAATATTAATATACTGCAAAATAAAAGCATCACTGGTGCGAACTATCGTCAAAGCTTTTCTAACAATAAGTGAATGATCTTTGAAGAATTTATGGACTACCTAACACCTCCAAACTCATGACCGCCTCATCCATATCACATTTTCACCTCATACCATGCACTTTATTCTCTTCAGATGCCGATACTTCACCCTCCGAGCGTCTGCCGGACGCCACCAGTGTGGACACATCTGAACCAAGCTCCCCGGAATCTCGGCTCCAGCCCGAGGACCTCTCCACGAAAATTCCAAAAGACTCGAAGGAGAACGTGGAATTGACGGTTCCTCTGAAGCCACCAGAGTTGAAGTTATCAGTGAGAAAACTCCTCGGCTGTAGTCCGTCTCCACCACCAGTGGTTCAAGAGCGCTCGCCAAGTCCAGTGGCCAGTCCAGAAGTTAAACCATCCCCCCAGTTAGTAATTGAATCTCGAGTAGAGGGACAGTGTCCAAAAGCTTCACATGAAGAAAATACGAAAAGTGAGTTTACATCCGTAAACAAGGATTAAATCTACTTGATCTTCGATTGAGGATTTAAAAAAAAATTCTTTATTGTAAATATTTTTGCTTTCGAATGGAACCTTTGCAATAGTTGATTTTGACTATCTTCTTTATATATGTCGGGATGTGTGTGCGAATTTTTTGGAAATTTTTTATAAATCTTCACAGAACAAGCAGGGTTTCGAGTCTACCCGACAGAAGACATGCGACAGTTACTTTTTACGTATTAGTCTTTCTTTTTTTTATTTCTACCAATTTCATTGGTAGGAAGCTTCCGAATGGATCCATAGCATTTCCCTATCCTTGTGATAGGCATACGATCGTAACCACATGCTACAGTGTATCACATAGGAAAATATTCAACCCTTTAATGAGATAGATTTATACGACAGATTGCATATCTCCGAAACTGCACGCTCGGTTGAGCCCATTCAGAATACCAACCTTCAATATTGTGAGAGCTATAATCATACCAAATTCCAAATTGCTTATTTAATTTTTTCTGAAAATATCTTGCGTACAATGAAAGAATTTAAAAAGCGAAAAAACGGGAATATATCGGAAACTTTGTATGAACGGATATATATATATATATATATATATATATATATATTTTTTTTTGATTGATCTAGATACAAGCTGTCGAGACGAGTATTTTGGAAAAAAATTGAAATACGTCAAATAGTTCATGAGATATTTGCAGAAATATATTTACACAAAAGGTTGTACACCTCAGAAACCACTCGGCCGATTGCGCCCATCCAAAATACGAACCTTTAGTATTATAAGTGCTAGAATCATACTAGATTGCAACTTGCTACGCGGAAAGAAATTTTCTAGAAAAATTTTAGTACCAGTATTGGAAAAAATTACAATCCACCGTCTGTGAAAAATTCTAGTGCTGTTAAGGTAAAATTTCTTGGTATTTCTGATAAAATTTCTGTGAAATTTTCACAGAAATACGGGGAAAAATTCACGTTTTTACCAATAAAATTTCTAATGTCGGCACTGAAATTTTTTCCTGGCCGTCACGTTGTGCCTCTTTTCTCGTGCTAGCTCTAGAATTTTTCTAAAAAATTCCTCCGTGTATGTCCTTTTTTTCTCAAGTTATCGTACGTACCAGATTTTTCATGAAAATCGAGAAAACGGCAATATCTCCAAACTGTGTATTAAAGAGTCTATATATTCTGATTAACTTACATAGAGACCATCGAGACGAGTATTTGGAAAAAAAATTGTAATCGATGCAGTAGTTTTTGAGATATCGAGGAAACACGAAATTTAAGGATAATCGGGCGAGGAGGAAATGTAGGAGGTGAGGCGGAGGGGTTCCTATTGTTTTCCTGCAGAAAACCAATCGCTGAACAAAAAAATTTTTCCCATTCGGATTCAAAATTCAGGCAATATTAGAGAGTATCCCCGGTTAAAAATTATTTTTGGAGCTAATCAAATTTATTTGTATCTGTTCCACGCATTGAATGGTTTTCAGATTGTTTTTTTTTAAATATATGAAAAAATATGAATCCATGCGAAAAAGTGGCAACATCGTCGGTAGTTTTTTTTTCACCAGGAGCTGGTACCACTGGCTCGAGGGAGCTCCAATCACAACGCTTCATCGCTCTCTCTCAAGAGGCCTTTAAATTGACCACGCTACCCCCACCCGATCGGTACTTGGGACGTTGCTGCTCGTTTGGGCTGCGTGCGCAGAAATTTCATTTTTCAGTACTTTTTTCGCTATTATTAATAAACAATGCTTCTAGGCCACAATCTTTTTCATTCAAAAAATCATTGATCACATGTTCTAAATGTGTCTAAAGTTTCATGGCTTTGGCTGCATTTTTTCCTTGGGTTTTGCAGTTTTTTTTGTCATTTCCATAAGATTACGGGTTGAATGATCACTTTTTCAAAAATTCATAATAAATTAACCATGCTTCCCAGCAGTCTGAAACTTTGCACACGCCTTTTCCATCATTTAAAAATACGTTAAAAAAATGGCTGCTTTTTTTCTAACCTTCCGGGCTCGCCCGATTATCCTTAAACAAGTTGTCATATCTCACGAACTACTATACAAAATGTTCTGTTTTTGAAATAAACGTATACGTACAGAAAATTTTTATGAGTAAACCTAGTTGGAAAATTCTATTAGGCTTCAATGTTTAATACCAAATATCCTTTCACACTCGATTGGTCGCGCAAAAGTTACGAAAGTGCCGTTGGTCGCGCCGTAGGATAAATTTGAAAGATCTAGGAAAAATCTGAACAAAATCAAAAGTGATCTAGATCGTATACTTGAAGAAGTCCCATGAGATTTTTTATGTTCAGTGTTAGCCTTAATTATATATTCAAGCTCAAAGTTGCTACGTTTTTCTGAAAATATGCCTTATACACGGTACACGGCCCGGAGCTTCGGAATAAAAACTTGAAAACCTAACTTATCATATTTTTGGCGGATATTTTCATTGATAGGACTTTTAGACACTTCAACATAAGACGTCAAATTTTTTCAAACTCTTCTGAGGCTTTATTGCTGTGTAATTTAAAAAATCGAAAAAAGTTCGGCGCAGCGATCGTAGCGCGACCAACGGAGTGTTAAAAAAATTAATGTAGGAGCGTGGGGCAAAGTGGAACGTCGATAATCAACTTCAAATCCTGATCGCTTTATTTATAAACAGAAATATTGGGATTTCGAGTCGATGGCAACCATTCCACTTTGTACTATCTTCCCCTAGATTGCGATCTAGAAAAATTTCTTAGCACTAATTGTTCAATATTTTACAGCATTTTTGCTCTTCGCTCACTAAAGAAATTGAACAAGGCAAAATTAGAAAATTTAAGCAGAGAATTTTCAGGGAGAGTCCCAACAGAATGAACGGTTAGAAAAACAATATCTATTGATTTTTTCCGTACCATATTTTTACGAAACATTTCTGTTGAAGTAAAACGCACAAATGAGATGCGAAGTTTTTAAATGCAACTGGTGAAAGATTTCTATCGCTGGGATTCGAACCTGTGTTCCCGGGTGTCAAGCAAGGACCTACACCAATGAGCTAATACATGGTCTTTCCACATAACACAATTTATTATTGATTTATTTGAATTGTTTCGAATTAATTTTGTGAGTTCTGAATTACTGGATTAATCGGGCTGTCTACTATTTCTTCATAATAAATCGTTTTTATGATTTTTTTCCATTCGTATTGCCCATTGAGAATCGTCGTGGCACGTTTCAAGGGCTCGACTGGCATGAATCCTCCCGAAGGTCAGGACCTAGCCGTTGTTTTATAATTCAGGAGATTGTGCCAATAAGACTCAGTAGTGATTGGCCCGACGGTGTAACGAGTACAAATGTAATGATCTCTGACGACCCGAGGTTATGACCCCTTCTAGCGACTGTCGAGTCATCCCTCTTGTGTATTCTTCACCCTCCGAAATACGTAGAGGATTTTATTCTTAAAGTAGTATAAACATAACTTGAATTTTCAAGATTGAAATCTGAAAAAAATTCTAAACGACTGTTATTATGAATAGAAACATTTTGATTGAGTTTGTGCGTAATCGGCAATTTAATATTATTGATAATAATTAATTTATGAGTGCAAAAATAATACAGAGTCTTATGAGAAAATTAATTTTTCAAGGTCAGGGAGAAGATTAAAATCTAGAAAAAATCTTAAACAAAGGGGCCATTGCACAGGTCTAAATCAAGTATCGTTTTCTTTACTAGAAATTACCAATTTGCTTTCAAATGGATTAATCGAATTAAAACAAAAAAGTGCATATTCGGTTTTCTGTCATTAATTTCATATTAGTAGGGATCCTTCCGGAAGTTTAGCCTCAGGAAGATTTAATAGTTTTTAGTGAACTGAATTTATTTCAAATTAGACAGATGGAGTGAGAACAAAATGAATGGAATATTTGATATCACAAGAGTTCATGCTCTTGATACATCAATGTTAATGTCTCCTCGGTCGTAAGTAAATTATTTAAATTTTGTTTTTCTCCTGAATACTTTTCCTTAAACTGGACTTAAGACCAATATAACTTTTTTGCTCATGTATTAGCAATTTACTTCTGAATGGTAAATTAGCGAAGAACATATACCAGCCATGAAGCCTTAATATGATCCCTAAATGTACCAACTGTCTAACATGAGCTCCATATGCCTTGGTTAAACATCCAACAGACGCCGACTAATTTACAATTAAACTGATTTAAACTTCCACTGAACATTGATTAAACCGTGACGAAACCTTGGTTAAACCCTGATTAACCTCCAACTAAATCCTAACTGAACTCCGACTAAACCATGATTAAGCCTAGATTAAATGCTTTTCAAGGCTATAATTTCGGAGCAAATGATGCGATCGCCACTATCTTCGAATTCGATCGAGATAATGTCTAAATAAATATTTTAAGCCGTAATTTAAAAAATTTCCACCATTATTTTGTGAATGATTGTCGAAAAAATAAATTTTGAAAAAAGCTTAATACATACATGCATACGGACATAATTTAAAAACAGCATATTCGAATTCCTGAGACCAAAATTAGTCATCGTCACACCAAAAAAATGGAAATTTCAGATTTGACGAATACAATGCTTCCGCATTCGAAAGCACAATTGACTTGAATCAGGTTGATATTCCCGTTTGCATCTGTGCGAGTCCGACTTGATTCCTTCAATTTGACATGAAACAAGTCGATTCCTAGCATGATTCAGTCCGACTTGATTCAGACAGACTTTTTTTTGGGTGTAAACAAAATAAATTATAAAATTGTGGAATTTCTAGTGCATTGGGCTTCATAATGTCTACAATTCATTCCAATAATTTCTTTATAAAAAAATCTAGGAAATACCTCTATTCAAGGCTAAATTGAGACGAATCGTCAATACAGAAAATAATCACATGCCATCATCATTATTACAACTGATTCTTAAATAAATTTCTTTAAAAGAAACTATTTTTATTGCTAGGAAT